ACGGCGCCTGCCTGGGCACTGTTTGAATTCATCCCCATTAGCGTGATTAGGGGGAAGATTACAGGGTGGGGGCAAGGTCGGCTCCATCGATGGGGCTCTCCAAGCCCTATTGCTGCCATTTCTTTGGACACCAAAATGAGCAGGACTGGGAGAGCCTGGCTCCAGCTGGGCATGAGGAGAGCGGGGCTGAGCAGGGAGAGGCAGATGCTCAGGGTCCTGGTGTTCGTTAGCACATCAGGCTGGGGGACCTGAAATCGGAACCCAGTTTTGATTGCAAATCCCAAACCCCAGCTCAGCAGGATTGCTGCCCTCCCAAGTTTTAGATTAAGCCATCTTTCATTAAAACATAATTCAGATGCTGCAAGGTAGCACGTGCATGGCTTTTCACCATGGAAATGCCCACATTTTCACCTGGGACCACATTCCTGGGGTCTGAAAGACCCTAATCACGGAATAAACCAGGGGCACATCACTTAGCAGCGATCGAGGGAAAAGAGGAAGGAGGCTGCTCTGGGATCCAGGCTCTTGGCAGCTGCTGCCGCTTCTGTATTATCTCTGCATCTCCCAACAAACACCCAAATGTGTGGGTGCATCTGCACAGAAGTGATGAATAATAATTCAAGAGGGGAAAAAGAGTAGGCGAGAGAGTAGAGGGGAGAAGGAAGCTTTCGCATGCTGACGGGAGAAGAACAGGATCAGCAGGGAGGGAGTAACGCTGTGAAGCCTGGAAGGAAGCAACGGCTCTTGCGAAGATGACCTGTCTGGGGAGAAGGCGGAGAGAAAGCAACCGCCTGTGAAAACTCTGCAGGGAAGAAGGGAAGGCTTCAAAGAAACTGTGCTGCAAGGAGATAAGATTAAATTCCTCCAGTCCATTCAGAAAGAAGGCAGGCGATGGGGCGAGTCGCTCTCCCACGTGCGATTGCAGGGTAGGCATGACTGCAATGAATGCGAGATGCCATTCATTTTTTCCCTGTTTCTGCAAAAATAAGAGTGGGTGCATCCACGTGCTCAGCCCCTGATCCCATGGGCTTAGCCCACGCTGCACGAGCATTTACTGGGGGTCCTACCCCCACACCTCCCATCTCACCGCTCCACCTCGTTGCGTTTTGTTAACAGCCCCCTGAAATCCCATGAAGGGTCTTGGGGCACAGGCACTGCCCCCTGGCACCATGTCAGCCCCGGGGGTCCGACGGACGTGGGGCTCGTGCCATCGCCTCCCGGCGTGATGTCGACAAAAGAGCTTCCACAGGCTCATTTGCTGGAGGCGGCAGAGCGAGAGGGAAAGGCTTGTGTCTTTTCTGGCTTTCTGTCCTCGTTAACTGGTGAGCGACAGGGCAAATCACGTCTCAAAGCAATCACATTGGGCAGCGAGAGCCAGGGAGCTGAGTGGGTGGGGGGCTGCAGAGGTAGAGAGAGACTGGTCTGGTGGCATCGCCGTCGCACACACACACACACAGGACAACATACACCCTGCAAACACCCAGCCCAAATACATCCACGTGCTCAGCCAGGCTGCCTGCGCCGCTCCCCGCTCGTACCTGCAGCCAGAGCCCCAGACTCCATTCCCAGGCACGCACCCCACCTCCAGCAGCACAAACTGGGGCACCCACCACCACCAGGGCTTTTTCAGACCCTGCGCTCAGTATCAGTTCTATTATTTATTTTTATCCACACCCTCTTTTACACTTTGCAATGTGCCTAACCTAACCATGGCTGTTGCTAAGCCTGCAAAACCCCTTAAAATATCGTGTATACACACATCTAAACATACGTATGTACGTACATACATAATGACTAGTTTTTGTTTGGCTCAGCAACTGGTCTGTAGAGTCACACGGCCACTAGATTTCACGCAGGGGAAGACGCTAGCGTGTGCCACAGAAGACAAATAGCGAAGGGGGACAAATCTGATCCCCTCTTTTTGGAGGTGCCCCACACATCTGGAGCAGCTGCCCGTGCCCTCTGCTCGCTGTGCTGTCTCCAGAGCCTTTCTCTCTCTCTCTAACACTGCTCGTGAATGCCAACTCCTCCACGGCTTTCAAAGTGCTCATTTTTGAAATCGAAAGAGGGAAGAAGAAGAAAAAGACGTGCCCAACCCTCTCAGGCATGTGTAGGAGGGCTCGGATTGATTGAAACGCCTCCTGCCAAGAGGCTGGAAAGTCCCGGCTCTCCCTCCCCCTATTTTTTCCTGTTTTCCACAGGCACCCAAAAAACCAAGGGTGTGTCTATCCGAGGTGCCAGGCACTCAGCAAGCCTGGCACCCCCAGAGCAGCGAGTCCACACACCCCGTGCTGCTCCGCGTTTTAAGGTGTCAGACCTCCCTGACACCTCTGCTGTAGGTGTCCATAAATACAGCAACTGCTTCCCCCCCCAGCCTCTCTCGCTCAAACGTGTTGAACGCTGTCGCGATAGCCGGCAGCTTTGCTGCTTTGACGCTGCCTTTTCCCTTCTGCAGGCACACAGGCACACAAGCGAGGTGTTGGGAACACACACTGGCAGAGCAGCCTCCTGTGCCAATTATCCCGCTCCCCGCAGCGCACATTCTGCCTCTTCCCCTGTAAAAACGAGCGGAGCCGAAGTCATCGATCGCTTTTAGCATATCAGCATCCAGGCAGCAGTTCAGACCTCAGTTCTTACTTACTCCTCTTAATCTCCCAAAAAATGGATTTAGGGATTAAAGCGGATATGCTGTCTTTCTGGGACTTTCCTTTGACACTTAATCAATCCGGGTCCTCAGGGCACAGAGAAAAAGAAAGCAGAGCTGAGGGAGGAGCGCAGGTTCGCGTTGCCCTGTTCAGGATGCAGAGGAGCCCGCATGGGAGTGGGTGTAAGGCAGGACATAACCAAGAATGGGAAGAACAGAGGAGCAACGCTCTAGACCTTGAGGAGGAGGCAGCGAGGATGCTCTGGCCTGTGGTACCTGCACCCCCTCCACCACCCAACCCTCTCCTGCTGCCAGGGGACGTTTTCCCACCGGGGATGCCTGCTCCCCCTGCACAGGGCAGCTCAAGAGTGGGAGATTTTTGCTGCTCTGCATGCAGCAGAGAGCAGAAACGTTTCCCCTCTCACCACACTGTGCAAATAGGATTTAGCTCATTGTGATTATGCACTAACTTCTGCCTACAAGTGGCTCTTCCCCCTTCTCCCCACCTCACCCTTTAATTATCTAGATGGAAGATGCACCTCCATTATAGCCCTGACACTGGGAGCCAAGCGTCGCAAAGGCCATCAGGAGCTGGGATTTTATTTTAATTTTTTTTTCTTTGTAGCAAAGAGAATTAATGCACATCCCCACATACCTCTGAACCGTAATCACAACACTTAGCACACACATAACGCCTCTCGTCTTCTTAAGTGCCGCACAGACATTAAGCGTAATTAAGCCTCACAGCATCCCTTTTCAGGTAGGTTAAGAGGAGCACTGAAAATTGTACTGAAATCAGGCAGCAAGAGGCTGCTGCAGGAGAAGTTGAGACTGCAGCTCACAGCACCCAGCGGGGCTGTCGAGAGGTGGGATCCATCCGGCGTGGAACAAGCAGGAGGCACAGGCGTTTGCTGAAATTAAAAATCACTACAAATCCCCTTCCTCAATATAATTTTTAGAGACTCCCACATCTCATATCCCTCCTGGGCCCACCGTACCCAGCAGCTCCTGAGGAGCCCCCAGGCGCGGG